TGTTTCCTCAATTACCTCAGATTGTAGGATATGATGTATAACATACAAATGAACTTCCCCAATCAACACAACAATTATATGCATCCTCCTAGTCTCATTATCATCTTTCAACTCCAGAATGCTATTACACTCCATTTGATCATAATACCAAAGGCTCTCTATAGTTGGATAACCTAAGTCCTTTAACCCACCTAACACTTCGAAGTAACTCCAAAAATCAGGCTCAACATCATACGTTTCCTCTAACCCATTATAACCTAGTTTCGTTAACTCAACAAATTCACCCCATGATGAACAACGCGTTTAAAACGACTCTCCATGATCTAGATACAACAACTACATAAAACCCTAAATGAGAACTAAAATAAGTGAAAGGGAAGAATATAAAGTTTGCATCATTCATACCTAAAAAATAGATGATGGACTTTGATCCTCTTTCACGCAGAATCAAACAGTACACAAACCCTATAATAAAGAACATTAAAAATGAGATTCAAAGCTAACGCAGATGAAAAACCTTAAATGAAAACTAAAATAAATGAAGGGGGAAAATAAAAAGTTTGCATCATTCGTACCTCAAAACAAATGATGGACCTTGTTCCTCTTTCACTCAAAATCAAATAATACATAAACCGTAAAATGAAGAAGAACAAAAATGAGAGACTCCAAATTAAAGATGAAGAATGACGAACGAACGAAAATGTATGATAACCATACCTTGATGAACGAAAATGAAGAGTGATGATATCCACACGAACAAAGATGAAGATGGATGCTAATGGTTGCTTCATTAGGGTTTCCAGCAAAGAGATAAAATGAAACATTGAAAATGAAGTAAAAAGAGATAAAATGAAACGTTGAAAATTCTGATGTTTTTTTAATCAAAATGTCAAACCATAAATCCATGTCACGTTAAGAAAGTTAGCTGAAATGTCACCCTAGCAACAACTAACAGAAATACACACATTTTAACAAAAAAAGGATCACATTGACTAACAGAATCACAATTAAAGGATCTGACACTAACGTTTATTATATAAGAGACTAAACTGAAAACACAAATTAAGTTAAGGAATCAAATGGTACATTAAACCTAATTTTATTTAGCATAAATTAAAAACAGAGAAGTAGAGTGGCTTGCCTCCCCTACAAGTAGCTATATTCTACAAGCATGTCTCCCCTACAAGTAATTATTGTCCTATATAATAAATGTCTATACAATAGCTATATTCTACAAGCATGCCTCCCCTATTATAAGTAATTATTGTCCTTTATATGCAGTTTTGGTGCAGATTATGTACTACGTATAGACAATGTTACTACACTAATTTAAAAATCACTAAGAGCATCTTTAATGGGAGTAACTAAATTGGACGAACTAAGTTATTTTACGTGGGTCCAAATTGACATGAAGGATTTAAGCAATCCAAAATTGAATTAAGAAGTTTTTACTTCAATGGTGATTGTTTATAAGGAATTCAAACTTGGTATTAAATGGTTAATAAAAATCTATTATTTATGTTAAATAATTAATAAATATATATTATTTATGTTAAATAATGAGTTAGAGTACGTTGCCTGTGTAGAGCACGTAAACTAGTTTTAGAGCATTCCATATGCCATGTCAGCTCTACTATAATGCAAATTCCTTATTACTGACGTAAGCTATACAAAATTTTGGTTTAACAACTATGCCTTAAAGTTGCTCTACATAGCTATGTTGACTATAAATATATATTTAGCTTTTTAAGGCCATATTAAGAGAGAGGATTTGGAAAAAAGATAATGGATTTACTTAATAATCAAATTAATTCTTTTTATTTTATAATCAAATCAAATATTCTTTTAAGTATTCAATAAAGTTTATTAATGGTCAAATGAATTTACTTTATGATGAAGATATTTTCTATTGAACTTTAATTCAATTTTAAAATTGAAATGGGATGACTTATAAAAAGAATTAAATTATAAATGATGTATCTATTATAAATGATGTATCCAATGGGAGTTCTTAAAGTGGGTTTGCCAACATGATACTCATATTTGTTGTTTTCAAGATTGTCATGCTTTTCAACGGTTCTTAATTAAGCAACAGTTCTTCAACGGTTCTTATATTAAAATATTAATTTTATAATATAAAAACTATAATTTAATATAAAATTTTATTTATCATTTTAATTATCATATGAAACTATAATTACAATATTAAAATATTGATTTATAATATGAAAACTATATTTTAATTATAAGTTTAAATTACAAGTTTAATTTGAATTTTATTTATTTTAAATTATAATTATAATTATAATTTTTTTTATTTTATATCAAATTTAATTTAAAACACTAAAATTAACCGAGGAGAGATTGAAATATTTTTTTAAGTTTAATCTAATTTTTTTAAAGTTTATATAGTAGAATAAAATATTTTTCCTTAAAACAACACTATATACCGGTTAGACTATATAGTAGACTGAAATAATTTTCTGTAAAAAAATTAAAATTATTATTTTAAGTGATATAAAATTTAATATGAATAAAATATTAACATATAAAGTAAACTTGTGGGACCCAATATGAGTTTTTCAGAATTGCATCATTGGAGTGAAAATTTAGTTGAGTTGCTTCAAGCTGACATAGCTTAATAGGTCCCACAAAGAACCCAAAAATGAGTTCACGATTGGAGATGCTCTAATTATGTAACAGTCAATTTAGTATTTCAATGTCAAAATTCCACGCTTTCATGATTTATGAAATAATTATGTTTTAATGCCAACTTATTAAAAAAATATATCATTTATGATATATGGACAAAATAAAATATCATATCTATACTTTATACTATAACCTTATATATATATATATATATATATATATATATATATATATATATATATATATATATATATATATATATATATATATATATATATATATATATATATATATATATATATATATATATATATATATATATATATATATATATATATATATATATATATATATATATATATATATATTAATTACATATTTTTAATTATTTTCAATAAATCGACCACTACCATCTTCCTTCCATTAACTCAAAATTCTCTTTTCTCTACAAAAAGACTAGCAATCAAAACATAATATTCTTCAAAAATTTAATATTTTATCCTACAAAAAAAATTTCATTAATCTTTATGCTCTTTTTTTTTCCAATCAATTTAAACATGGAGTGTTTTTTTATATACAATATAGAAAGGATGGAAATAATAAGAGGTTTGAATATTCAAGTCAATCGTGAACAATCTCTAAAATGTGTTCAGCCAAATATTTTGTTCCTGAAATAAATTTCAGAGATCAATACGTTCAGGATTCTACAATACATCAAGTCGATGATAATCGTGCTAATGTACAACCGTCACAAACCAACATACATCATTATAATGCAGATTTATTTTGGGAGAAAGAAATCACAAAAGCATGTAAGGATGGAAAAAATGTCACGGTGATATTTCGGATAAATTTTTTTGTTGCCTTTACATATTTATCTTTTCAATTGTATAAAAAATTTTATGTTTAAAGTAATTGAATTTTTTTTTTAGCATTTTCCTGCTGACATTGTTAGGAATGGTCTTGATCGTACCTGACCAGAAGGGAATCAGTGACCTGCCCCGCGTCATTGATCTACTAGCTGCTCACCGAAGGTATGGAAGAGGAGGGGGTGTACCTGAAACACACTCTGGTGCCAAAGTAAGTGATTAGCAGAGTGAAAGCAAGTACAGAGAGAGAGAGTGAGAGAGTTAAGTTACCTGACCCTCTAGTGAAGAGGGTATTTATAGTGAGCCCCCAATGCAGAGCCAACGGTTACCTAGCACTGGGTTGGGCTGCCAGGCCCAATGTTAGTAACTGTTAGGGATGACGTGGCGTCGTGAAGGCCAGCACATGGTCTTCGCCCTAGGGTAACTGTTCTGCACTATCCGAGAGGAGGAAGACCGAATCTCTAGGACGTGGGTAGTTACTTTATGACGTGTCCATGCGTGAGGGACACGTGGAGAACGTGGGGGAGGCTCGAGGAGCTCCCCGAGTAGAGTGGGCTCTGCCCGACGAAGGGGAAGACGGAGGTTGGTTGGTCGACTGCGAGGGTCTTGCCCGACACCTGAAGGCCTATGCCCGACGGGGGAAGGAGAGTCGTGCCCGACGGGATCCTGCCCGTCAGTGAGGACCTAGTGGGCCCAACCTCAGAGGGATTTGGGTCTGCTTGAGTGTGGGTTAAGCCTCGGTCCAGTCCAGAACAGGTACTTTCAAACAAAAGTGAATTTACTTTGATGGACCTTAATGAAATGATGTACTATGACGGTCAGATTCTCAGAGTAAAAAAAACCACATACTGAGATATATCTTGGAAATGATTGATATAAATATGCAAAATTCATAAATTTTAGCGTTGGTGATGTGTTAATTTTTCATTATAGATCTGATTTAGATATGATGTATGTTAAGCACAAAAGAAAGTATTAAATAATTTATCAAGCATTAGAATAATTTATCTATACAATTTTAAATGTCAAAATGGTTGTCTTAAGATAACCTTTTTTATTATTCTACTCGTACATTTTAATATAGTATTGAGATTAATCTATTTATTTATGTATTCCTTTATTCTACCTATAATGTTTATGTATCTTTTTTGCATTATAAATTCTGATATATAAACAAAATAATTCAACAATTTCATAATAAATTAATATAACGTGACCCATGCGATCAAAAGTTTCCATCAAAATCAAATACTTTTTGTTTCTAAATTACGAAGCAAATATTTAGAAATACTCCTAGGCATGAACATGTATCATACTAACTAATCTTTAAACAAAGGGAGTTATAGCATATAACAGTATTTTTCAAACAAAAACATCATCGTAGATTCCTTGAGGGAAAACAATTGTCGAAAAAAACCAAATGAAAAAGTGTCGGTAAATCAAGAAATGTTTCAAGTGTGCGATCTATGAGCAGTGGAGATGCTTGGCTCCACGTGCTTTTGTTGGAAATCAATTACATTCGATCAATCCTTTTCAAATCACCCTCAAATCTTTTCTCTTCCTTCACCCCTCCCTCAATGGCCTCAAGGTTAGTATTTTTTGTGCCAATTTATTACTGGGTCAGGGGAAAATATGATTTTTTCTTGATATGAATGTCAATTTTGCATTTTTGTGTGAATTTATTATTCGGTTTATGTCATAGCAGGACATGGTTTTGCATCAGGAGTTGTGAATCTTGGTGAAATAGAGGTTTTCAAGGTCACAAGTTTTGATTTCATTTGGAGCAGTGCTATACTAAACTCAAAAAAATTTGTTATATTCTATAAGCCTGTGGGAATACCTGACAGTTTTCATATCCTTGGTCACTATTGTCAAACAAGTGACAGGCCTTTACGGGGTTTTGTACTTGTTGCGAAGGAAACACGAACTTGTTTGTCTGGAACTAATGAGGAAGAGTTACCTCCTCTGAGGAATCCTCTTGATTTTAAGTTAGTTTGGAGTTCGAATGATCCTGACAGTCTTGAAATTTCGAGTGGATGCGGTTACTTCTGGCTACCTGAACCTCCCGAAGGTTACAAGGCTGTTGGCTACTTTGTTACAAATAAGCCGAACAAGCCTGAGTTGGATGAAATGTGTTGTGTTCGTGCCGATCTAACTGACAAATGTGAACCTTATCGGGTGGTATTTGCTGTTAGTTCTAGAACTCCAGAGTTTTCATTTCAGGTGCGGAGCTCGAGACCTTGTGACCGTGGCATGCTAGGGAAAGGTGTATCTGTTGGGACTTTTCTCTGCACTAGCGGTTTGAGCAATGGAGAAGAGGACCATGTTGCATGCTTGAAGAATCTGAATCCTGCGATACCATCAATGCCTAATTTGCAACAAATTCACGCACTTATTGAGCATTATGGTCCTACTCTTTTCTTTCATCCTGAGGAAATTTACTTGCCTTCTTCTGTTGATTGGTTTTTCAACAATGGAGCCCTTTTGTACCGAAAGGGTGTGTCTGCAGGAGAGGGAATCGATGCAGCCGGCTCAAATTTACCTTGCGGAGGGTCAAATGATGGCCAATTTTGGATAGACCTGCCCAGTGATGATCGGAGGGATTTCGTCAAACGCGGGGACATAAAAAGTGCAAAGCTTTATATTCATGTGAAACCAGCTCTTGGCGGGACTTTTACAGACATTGCAATGTGGATATTTTGCCCCTTCAATGGGCCAGCCACTTTGAAAGTTGGACTTAAGAATATTCCTTTGAGCAAGATTGGCGAGCATGTTGGCGATTGGGAGCATTTCACACTTCGTATATGCAACTTTGCCGGAGAGCTCTATAGTATATACTTCTCCCAGCACAGTGGCGGCGAATGGGTGGACGCGTGTGACTTGGATTATACTGATGGCAATAAAGCTATTGTTTACTCGTCAAAAAGCGGACATGCAAGTTACCCTCGTCCTGGAACATATATCCAAGGGTCTTCAAAACTAGGGCTTGGCATTAGGAACGATGCTGTTCGTAGTAATTTTTACGTGGATTCAAGTATCCATTATGAGATTTTTGCGGCTGAATATCTCGGAAATGCTGTCGCTGAACCTAATTGGTTGCAGTTTATGAGAGAGTGGGGTCCCAAAATTGTTTATGATTCAAAAACTGAGTTGGATAAGATTATCAACGCGCTTCCTCACATGCTTCAGTCTTCGATGAGAAACTTGTTTAACAAGCTTCCAGTGGAACTTTATGGCGAGGAAGGTCCTACAGGACCAAAAGAGAAAAATAATTGGATACAAGATGAGAGATGGTAGATCTGATGATTTGTGCCCTAATGATGGAATAGTTGCAAATCTCTCACCACAATTGCATTGAAATGAATGAGAATTCTTACACTCATTGCTTCTGCTTGGCATTCAACATGTTTTGCATATCCGAACTTATTTAGCATGAGACTTTACAGGAACAATGCAGTAATGCTAGCATGTAAATGTATGAAGGGCTCGCGCAGTTTCTTCTGCATATTCTGCAAAAGCCAAAAGCAACTCAAGGCATTGAGTATCTCACAGTTCTCTATTATTTCCTCAACAAATTGAGCATTTAGAATTTTGATGCACCAACTTGAGGTAGGATTATCAGAAATATTGTTAAATATGTGTTATAGAAGCTGTAATCTCCATTTTTATAGATTTATAGATGAGGAAATCTCCATATCATATATCTTTGACCGATTGATAGGCATTAGCTATTGTAGGAATGTTTATAGGATTAACATTAGAAGTATATTCTTGAGTAATCATAGGAGGTTGGAGTCTAATATTTGATGTTTATTCTTGTATACATATTCTTATAATATCAATGGAAAAGCTCGACAGATACCATTCTTTAGCTATTTCATCTTATGTTCATAATCGCTCTCTACTCAAATTATGTTCCTCTTAAACTATAATGATCATGATTAATGATCTTTCTATTCATTTTCTACATTTTCTTATATTTTTTCATTTTCAGCTTCTTTCCTATTATATAATTATCGAACTCACAATTTTGATCACTTCTAGAAGGCTTATATATCCTAACCATTTTATTTGGAACTTGTAACCTGTTGGATGTTAAACATCCAGCATGAGAGTTTGGTTATGCTTTTGCACAAAATTTCGCATACTACACAGATTCATCACAACATTCATATTTTTGCGAGTTTCTCTCTTCTGTGATACATATGGCTGCTATTGGAATTGTCAAGGTTTCCAAGAGTATATTTACCCTCTATATTGTGAAATTGAATGATTCCATGTACGGTAGTTGGACCGGGGACATCAAATTATGGATTCTTGATCAAGGTTACAAAGTCCAGTAACCGAAATGGGAACAAATTAATGGTTAGTTGTTCATTTTTATTAAGTCCACACTTCACTGATCTGATATTAAACTGATCTTTTGTTAACGTGTATTGGTAGCATCTATTTTGCTCTTTATGATGTTAATGGGCTCCTACATCTGCCGCAAACACTACAACTGAACAAAAGGAGGAACATGAACAACACAACACAACACCTTCTTCATGTCCATTGCTCTATATGGCTTGCCTTAGAAGTACTTTACTACTCCTGAGCAAATTGAGTTCTGACGGTGCTTCAGATATCTCTGATACATCTGTTATTCATCTTTGAGTACCTGCAAAAAATTAACTTGAGCCTTTTGCTGCCCCTCTGTCACTTTGAAATAATCTAAATCGCTTTCGGAAAAGGTCATCTAACTCCAAACCCCGTCCTAAGTGTGAGCATTGTAACCAACTCCAGCATTTTATTGACCGATCATTGAAATTGCACTGTAGGCCTCCACGTCAGGTGAATGCACTCAAGTTGATCATTTAGACATTATTCACACCACATCTTCCCATCATGGCTCTTCAGCAAGCTACAACGATTTCCTCAGGTAATGTTAAAGTAATTAAAACTCTGGTTCTAATCCTTTGGTTACACCACCGATAATTCATATGTTGAATGACATATGCTTTTGTTCTAGTTTGATCACATGCAGATTGTGTATGGTGTGATATTATTCCGAGTGAGTCTTGCATCAGTTTGCATACGTGCATGGTGTTCCTTGACATCCTGTCGTGTCTTGTGGGCCAACAATCACTCAAGAACGGTTTGATCAGACGTATATTAAGTATCGGGATCATGTGGTGTCTATAGAGGATCGAGGCGCCAATATCATATAAGATTGTGATTCGGAGGCGGGATACACGAGGTGGTATATAAGATTGTGTTATAATATTACTTTTTTACCAACATGTAACTTCAAAATCATGATGATTTAAAATTTATATTCTTAATATTTGTTAAGTATCATATCAATAGACTAATTGAGTTAGACATTATCTTAATCAGATGTGCTCAAACTTGATTCGCTTCAGAATATTTGATAAAATTGCGTCGTACGTGATTGAACCTGATAAAAAAGTAACTAGTTGTCTAATCCATAATTTTACCTGTGTTTAATTGACGTTTTTAATTAATGTTGATGTATTATTGGTGTTGTTATATACTGTATCGTTGAAATTGACTTGTGCCATTAAAATTGACTTGATTTAACGAAGTATTTATGTTTATGGCATTTGTTTACTGAGTTCACCATTATGTTTGTTTATAGTTGAATTTACCAGTGACATCGACTACACCTCTTTTCTCCAGGTTCTTTAGATTTTGGATTTTAGAATCCAAACACTAAAGAAATATGTTTCATATTCTACGATTTGATTGATATTTTTATAAAGGAATTGCTCTTTCTATCCTTAGGAGCTCTCCCACACCACCATGAAAAGACTAAAATATTCCAAGTGTCTGAAATGCATCTCTGAAAGCACCTTTTCCACACATAACTGAGGGAAAAATGGTGAGAAACCTTTATTCAATTAAAATTTTATCTGAAGATACTTCTTTGTAAGCACGAAAAGTTGTTTCGGAGATGCATCTCCGCAATCCCTCTTAGTTCATTAGTCAACGAGATTTACGAAGAGGCATCTCCGAATAATTATCTGTTAGATCAAATCAGAAACTGGCAGAATGGAAAACCAACATAAATTACCTCCAAAATGAACATTACATAGATAAACATGACATAAATTTAACATTACATGTTATTAGAAATGGGTGGTTCGAGACGTTTCAATATTCTTATAATATGTTTGGCTAATATTTGAATCGTCTCATCCGCTTCAATTAGACCATTTGTTGAGTAATGGTAAAAGGTACTTCACATCACCTTCAAATTATCATCCATCTTCAGTTCAAGCATGGTGAACCGTGTCATCGTCCGTCACACCATCATCATAAAAACGAAGCATTATCCAGCGAGTGCAAATTTCGTCCATACATATTGGTTTTTCAAGCTTCAACTTCTTTGAAATTAAATAAGCACTTGGAAGATCGTAAGTCTTCCTAAGTACATCCCCACTTAGAGTTATCTGAACATATTTTATCTGCTCGCTTGGCTTCGTAAAAAATAAAATTCAAAGTCACCCGAGATAAAGGATGTCGTCTTTGAAGCGATGTTCTAATATAGTAATGCTCTGACCAAAAAATGTTTTTATCTCATTATGTTGGTTTCGAAGTATTTGGTCCACGACGTCCCAATCTCAACAAAAACCACATTTACTATTTCCTAACTAATTCTTCATTCTAGCATGTGCATATTCAACTGTGTTAGTTGTTGCATTGCTTAAGTGTCTGGACTGATCGGTCCATGCACAAACAATCTTCTCTTTGACCTGGTCCAAAATAGTTCCCTCAATATATTTCAGGAAATATGGATATCTAACACGCACCCTCCTGAAATGTATTACGAATTCAACATATAATTCTTTTGTGAAAGAATTTATTATACAATTCCATGCATCCACGATCTTTTCCACCACAACACCATGTTTAGTTATTTTCTCTTCCTCATTTTTGATGTGTTTAGTGTCAACCGCGGGTTTTAGCCGACTTCTCAAATTTTTGGTTATGTGATACTTACAAAGTAATATGGTCGATGTAGGAAACATCGTTGTAACCGAATTCTTTAGTGTGGTGTCGCAATCAGTGATTATGACTTGTGGCATGTTTTCTTGGTCCTTCAACATAGTTTTGCACATTTTCAAATCTCATATAACATTGTCCTCTTTTTCGAATTCCAAAAATACAAAACCAATTGAATAATTCATCTTCGTAGAAGTAACACAATAATTTTCAAGAGTGGAAGTCTATACTTGTTTGTTTTTTATGTCAAGTCAATTATGAGCATGGCGGGAAAGATGTTGAACAACTTGGCGGAATTGAGATGACTCCAAAATATGTCTCGAACAGTGACTTTATCCTCACAAACTATGAACCTTGAAACATAATTGTCATCTTCCAAAACCTTCAAGAATTGTTGCATCTCAAGTTTAGGTCCTCATACCGCATTGTTGCCTCGAGCACATACATTGTATATTTGTTTGATATTTGAAAGACGTGAGTATGATTTTCAGAGCCACCATGTTTAATGACATATCCGAAACAAGTTCCCTCTCCTCCGACACAAGACGACATACAATGGGATGAACGACTAACTTTTCATCCAAGACATGATTATGTATACCAGGTATCACATTAAATTTACATGTCTCATTCGCCATACAGTATCCATGCAATTTAAACGGACACTCACATTTTCTCGATCTCGTGTCATCTCGTTTCAACTTTCTAATATTTGGTTGGTATGTGCCACTTCTTTCGCATACCATTGTTACAAATACTTGTCATTCATCCGAACTATTTTCAGACCTTCCAATTACAATGCCAAAACCCAATTTTCCGGCCTCCCTACAGACCCGTTATAGCATATGTTCACGAACTAAAAAACTTTTTTATTTGTAAATTGTGCACGAACATCTACCTCTACAACGGTCAGTCGGGCACCCGATTTAACATCATTTGGTTGAACATCACCATTCACATTATTCGATTTAAAACCATGCTTCAATTCGACCGGTTTAACCTCCACACTCACAATAGATTTGGGAAACATATTTGGGTGCACCATATCTATTACCACCAATAGCATAAAATTTGTGTTACATTTCAAACTATCGGGACAATCCGAAGATGCACATTCGAAACTCACCAAACTTCATCTGAAAATGCATCTCCGGACTCAACGTTCATTTTAAAGAAAAAACAAAGATTAACGTAGGGAATGAAGGATGACATTAATGATATTTTCCTGCAGTTCTAGCTTTATTTTGCTCTCTTTGAAGTGGTGAAATACAATAATGATCTTTTGGTGT